GTAGTATCAACTCATTGTCAGGTTACAGCAGTATCAGCTCATGTCAGGTTACAGTAGTATCAACTCATGTCAGGTTACAGTAGTATCAACTCATGTCAGGTTACAGCAGTATCAGCTCATGTCAGGTTACAGTAGTATCAACTCATGTCAGGTTACAGTAGTATCAACTCATGTCAGGTTACAGCAGTATCGGATCTTGTCAGGTTACAGCAGTATCAACTCATGACAGGTTACAGCAGTAGAAACTCTTGTCAGGTTACAGTAATAGAAACTCTTGTCAGGTTACAGTAGTATCAACTCATGTTAGGTTACAGCAGTATCAGCTCATTTCAGTTTACGGTAGTCTCAACTCATGTCAGGTTACAGTAGTATAAACTCATGTCAGGTTACAGCAGTATCAGCTCATGTCAGGTTACAGCAGTATCAGCTCGTGTCAGGTTACAGCAGTATCAACCCATGTCAGGTTACAGCAGTATCTGCTCATGTCAGGTTACAATAGTATCAGTTCATGTCAGGTTACAGTAGTATCAACTCATGTCAGGTTACAGTAGTATCAGCTCGTGTCAGGTTACAGCAGTATCAGCTCGTGTCAGGTTACAGCAGTATCAGCTCATGTCAGGTTACAGTAGTATCAACTCATGTCAGGTTACAGTAGTATCAACTCATGTCAGGTTACAGTAGTATCAATTCATGTCAGGTTACAGCAGTATCAACTCGTGTCAGGTTACAGCAGTATCAACTAGTGTCAGGCAGTTCATAAGTTGTTATTTTTATTGGTCTCCAACACTTGTTTCATAAGTTGTTAATTTTATTGGTCTCCAACACTTGTTTCATAAGTTGTTAATTTTATTGGTCTCCACACTTGTTTCATAAGTTGTTAATTTTATTGGTCTCCAACACTTGTTTCATAAGTTGTTAATTTTATTGGTCTCCACACTTGTTTCATAAGTTGTTAATTTTATTGGTCTCCAACACTTGTTTCATAAGTTGTTAATTTTATTGGTCTCCAACACTTGTTTCATAAGTTGTTAATTTTATTGGTCTCTAACATTTGTTTCATAAGTTGTTAATTTTATTGGTCTCCACACTTGTTTCATAAGTTGTTAATTTTATTGGTCTCCACACTTGTTTCATAAGTTGGTAGTTTTATTGGTCTCCAACACTTATTTCATAAGTTGTTACTCTTATTGGTCTCCAACACTTATTTCATAAGTTGTTACTCTTATTGGTCTCCAACACTTATTTCATAAGTTGTTACTCTTATTGGTCTCCAACACTTATTTCATAAGTGGTTACTTTTATTGGTCTCCAACACTTATTTCATAAGTGGTTAATTTTACCAATCTGAAAGGCTTATTTCTTAAGTTTTTAATTTTACCCATCTTCAAAGGCTTATTACTTAAGTTTTTAATTTTACCCATCTTGAAAGGCTTATATGATAAGCTGTTAATTTTATTGGACTTTAATAGGTATAGTTATATTTTGCTTTTTTTAATATTTCCTTTTTGATTTTTAAAACTTCAATGTTTTAATGAGTTTATTTTTGTTTATCAAAAACTTTTATTTTCTTGCAGCGCCATCTGTCAAACCAAGAATTTCAGCAGATATTCCACATGTCTCGAATGCAGTTTTATCGTATGTCAGAGTGGCGGAGAAATGATCTGAAGAGGCGAGCTAAGTTGTTCTAACAGTGTTGCTAGATCTGCTCAGCTGTCAGTCCTGTTTGTCTAAGATTGTTATAATAAAATTCAAGAAGCTAGGTTTTTAGGATAAAAAGTTTCTCTCTTTTTTCCTTCTTACCAAACTTCTCGTTTGTTTGCTAAACTGCTTTCTACACATAAATGGTATCACTTTTTGTGGTAAATGTTTTTTTTTCTGACGGGAAGGTTATTGTAGTAGCAAAAATATTAATTATTGTGTAAAAATATTCACTGTTATGGGTTTACCTTTATATACAGATATACACACATTGATACATATATTCAGATGTGTTTACTTAGTTGTATACATCTTTGTTGGTTCTTATCATCACCCTGGGTTGAGAAATGTTTCTTCTCAGTGGGAATACTCACCATCATTTTAAAGCGACTGTAAAATTGTAAGTTCTTGGTGAGTATCCTACTGTGTAAAACCATTAAATAAAAATATTAATTATTGGATTTTTTTTTTCTTGTAAAACTAGAAACAAGATGTGCATATTTTGACTTTGAAATGTGGTAATCATGTATATTTAATCTTTAAATCTTTAATCAATGGTAATATCTGAAAGTGTTTGTTAGAAAAACAAAAAAACATTCCTGCCCAGTGGAAATGTTCACTTTTATTTTTTTAGAATTTCATAATGAAAGTGTGAATTATTTTTGTCTATATGATTTATTTAGATCTTCTGATTAAGGAACTTTGTTGTAAAGTAGAAAGGAAAAAGGTATGTCCTTGTTGTAATTTAATTTGTTTTATGATTCTACCACTGAAAGAAGGTGTAATGAAATCAACAACAGAGAATGCCACAACTTATTTAACAGTGGTTACATCTTGTTCATTAATATTAGTAAAAGTGATTGTATCTTTAACTGATATCTGCTTTGTATTTCATAAATTTTAGGACTAAGATGATTTATATGTTAGCCATTAATGACACTGGTTAATGTTTTATGTATTGTGAAGAACATTGGTTCAATTAGTTAGATTGTGTCAAAGGGTCTATTTGAATTATATTTGTGTAGTTACAGTAGTCACTGTTAGTTGACATTATAATAGTGTGGTAAAATGTAGTGTTTTCTCCTGAAATGAGTTTCCACTGCTTGTATTTTATCAGTTGTTAATGTGTAAAGAAGAGGATGTGTAGAAGTATTTCGCGATTTTTTTTAGTTGACCGATAGATTTGATGTATTATGAAAGAAGTATTTAAATTTTGTTGATTAACCTTTAGCATTAAGAAAACTAATATATAAGATTCAAAGTTAAACTTTGTGGTATTTGGTTGTGTTGTACAGGAAGATTTTTAAAAATTGGATAATGACTACATAAGTTTTTGGGTGTAGATAAAATGTATTGTTTCCTTTGATATTCTAGTTTTATTTTTTTGAATCATTATACTCCAGATTAGAAGTTTACCTTTTACAAACATCTAAGGTGTATTAAGGACATTCTATTGTGATTGGTTTTTAACGATAAATTTTATAACCTATTTAAATATTGAGTAATAATCTTGTATGTTTATGTATTGTTGTGAATACTTTTACGTTTTTTCTCTCTCTCTCTCTCCGTTTATAATTTTATCGTGTTTTTTGTTTGTGAACCACCACATTGTATGTGCTGTTTTGTCTATCAACCAAAGCGTGTTGCCTTTACTTCATAACTCTTGACTCGCTACTTCTGTGTTCATTAGAACATACTATGTTTCAAGTCCCCCATTTTGTTCAACAAATGTTGGTAACTGAATATCCTACTGCCATGTTAAAATTCTGTAGACTATCGAAAGTATAGTATCTGTTATAGATACTGATATTAATATTAGTATCACTTATCAATACAACTCTTTGCAAGGAACTCCACTAGTGTAAATTTTGCACGGGATGTTGATATTCTTTATAAAACTTGAATATGACGCCAGGAGGCGTATTTTATGTGCAGCTAATTATTGGACATAATATTTAATAGTTGTAACCTTTTTTCTTTTCTTTTTTTGCTGTTTGAGATTAGAATTTCGTGAAATGATTTTATAAGATGTAGGTCTAATATTAATCTTCAATCATGTATCAGACTTTTATCGGAAAGATTTAATATTATGTGGAGTAGGCTTGCACGGTAACTAAAAAACGTCTTTTCAAAACACCGAGTCTTTGTACAAATTAATATAAAACAAAGTACAAAACCAAAATATATCCTTATTTTTCACACTAGTCTGTCCCTTTTAGATGTATTTATAACCCCTTTTTAATCCACACAAAAAAATTAGGAATTTTAGTAATTTTTACCCAGTTTTAACTTTGTAAACAGTCATACATACTTCTATAAGAAAATTATAACTGCTAGGTGGTAGCACCACTGCAGATGTTCAAAATTACTTGTGAGAAAATTAATTCATATTGTCGTATGGTGTCGTAGCGTTGTTAATATAATTCAGATAAAAGTAGTGTCTGAATATGTCGTTTTAAAATGTTTTGTTTTGTAGATGCCAACTATTGAGATAAATTAAATATTTCACGGTAAGATATACATTTGTGTTATATTCAAGTGTGTGTTAGACAGTTGTTAACATGTATTCTTAGAAAATCAGGGATGAAAACGTGGCAGACGACAAAGTAATTTCACTAGCGCCATCTAGCGAAACGTAAATGACTAAAGGACAGTTTATTAAAATATACATTTTGAAAAGATGTTTTAATTTAGGAATTTTTTTATTACGATCCAGTAATCGGGAACCATTTTATAACTCGGCAGTTGTTTGATACAATATTCTGTAAGAAATGTCATAGATAATGGCTACTTACTGTGGAGGAATTAGTCTGTCAAAAGGTACTTTTTGATGTCATCTGTCAAATTTTGTTTGTGAAAGTTGATTTTATTTATCATCGTTACAAGATCATTCGTTGTTGTAATCAGGAATTAATGAATATTGTACCTCAAAATAAATTTTATACTAGAAAAATGTTTACTGAATGGGCACCAAAATAAGTTCACTTTTTTTTGTTTTATGTGCTGTTTGTGTACTGCTTGTCACGTGTTCGATTGAAAAAATAAACTGCAAGTAAAGAAAAAAAATATTTAGCTCTTAGGTGAAGATGGTTGCATTCAGAAAACAACAAGATACTTGTGACACAACCAAGTAGCAAATTTGTTTAAGAAACGGGACTTGATATGGTCAGGGTGCTCAACTCGCAATATGCGGGTTTGAATTCCCGTCACCGAACATGCTTGCCCTTTCAGCCTCGGGGGCGTTATACTGTGATGGTCAATCTTTCTTTTCGTTGGAAAAATAGTTGTTCAAAAGTTTGCAGTGGGTGGTGTTGACTAGGTGCCTTCCATCTAGTCTGTCACTGTTGCCCCCCCCCCCAGTGGCACATATGTGTATGGACTTACAACGCTAGAAACCGAGTTTTGATACCCGCGATGGGCAGAACACAGATAGTCCTTTATGTGGCTGTCACTGTTCTATCACTGGTAAATTAGGGACAGCTAGCGCAGATAGCTCTCGAGTAGCTTTGCGTGAAATTCAAAACAAACCAAACTCTAAGAAACAACGTATTAGAAAGTTGGAAATTATGAGTAAGACAGCAAAAAGGAATAACACATGAGACATTTTTTGGTTGGGCACACTGAAAAAGCTAATTCTTTTTAAGAAACAACATATTTAGAGAAATATTACCACGTATTTAGTCCTAAGATATAATTCGACCGAAACGTCGTAAAACTTGTGAATTAAAAGTATTTGTATTAGAACTTGCAAAATACTCATATTGAGCATAATCTTTGGAATTTTATTCCTCACTTTTCTCGATCTTCTATATAACTCACAAATTTTACCTTTACTCATAAAGTTATGTTTATTTATTTCGAACATTAGTACAAAACTAATCGAGGGACATCTGAACTAACCGCCCCTAATTTTGAAACCACAGACTTTAGGGAATGCAGTTAGTTAACAGCACACACCGCCAAGTTTTAGGGATACTATAATCGAATAGTGAGATTTGGCCGTCACACTTATAACGCACTCACGACCCCAAAGTGAGCAGCAAGTTGTTACAGAAACAGGACACAAAGCATGGACTCTGCGCGTCACAGTCTGGTGCGCAGACTCTAAGCCACACCCCGCCCATGAAGATTGTAGGACGCAGCAACTGAAATCCTTTTGGGAAGTAATATATACACACACTTTAACAACCCTGCACTTCCCTTGCTGGCGACAATACACCATTAACTGATGTTAGAAACGCATTGAGAGAAGTAAACACCCTCAAACTACTGCTGTTGTTAACGATATCACTGTTTAATAATACTAGAAACAACTTGTAAACACACTCGAACTGCTGCTGTTGTTAACGGTATCACCGTTTAATGATACTAGAAACAACTTGTAAAAACCTTATGAAGTAAACACTCAGACTGCCGTTGTTGTTAAGATATCACCATTTAACTATGCTAGAAACATATTAAGCGAAGTAAATACCCTCAAACTGCTGTTATTGTAAACGGTATCACTGTTTAATGGTACTAGAAACAACTTGTGAAGTAAATACCCTCAAACTCCTGTTGTTGTTAACGGTATCACTGTTTAATGGTACTAGAAACAACTTGTGAAGTAAATACCCTCAAACTGCTGTTGTTGTTAACGATATCACAGTTTAATGGTACTAGAAACAACTTGTGAAGTAAACACACTCGAACTGCTGTTGTTGTTAACGATATCACAGTTTAATGGTACTAGAAACAACTTGTGAAGTAAACACACTCGAACTGCTGTTGTTGTTAACGATATCAATGTTTAAGGGTACTAGAAACAACTTGTAAACACCCTAGAACTGCCGTTGTTGTTAACGGTATCACTGTTTAATGGTACTAGAAACAACTTGTGAAGTAAATACCCTCAAACTGCTGTTGTTGTTAACGATATCACTGTTTAATGGTACTAGAAACAACTTGTAAACACCCTAGAACTACTGTTGTTGTTAACGGTATCATCGTTTAACTATACTAGAAACACTATATAAAATAGGTTAATAAATCGTTTTCATTGGATTGGTAAGAAAGTAGAAATTATTGAATAACTCTAATGAGGGTTATAATTATTGCCCTACTTTTAATTATATAAACTTGAAAATTGGGCTATTTTCTTACTTACTCGTTTGTCATGTATTAAATTTCTAATTATTATCGAATTTTGTTAATACGTTACCGAAAAAAGAACTCCCCGGACTTTGAAGCCGTAGGTATTTTAAAAGAGTGACGGTCAAATGCGTTCATTCGAGGGGTGATGTTGACCAGCTGCCTTCCAACCAACCAAATCACTGGAAAAAGTGATGCTACTAAGCACGTGATGTTTGTCAAGTTAATTGTAAAAAGTTCTTTGTTGTAAAATGCGTCTGCCGCTACTCAAACTACTGGTAAATGATGTTCTAAGATTCTAGGTTCTATATTTAAGCGAAAGGTAAAAATGTTCTGTAAAATTTGTTGCCTGCACGCTGATTTTTTATTCTTAGATTTGCGACGTGCTATCAAACGCTAATTGAATTAAAATTAAAATAATATTTCGTCCAACACATATTACAGATTGAAGCATAAAGCAATAAAGACACAAATGAATAATATAAGTTATAAACTTATATTTTTTATAGAGCAGTTTCAAACTTGCGATTACACTATCTCCCTAATGTTAATTCATTTAGTAACTAATGCATATATTTTGTGAAATAGATTGACTGTTTAGAGTATTATGTTTTGATTATTATTAATATACTTTTTAGATCAGGGTAATTTGAATTAATAGTATAAGAAACTTGAACTACTGTATATTCTTACACGTGAAAACAAATCCTCAAAACAACACTTGAGAGCTACGAAGGTAATATTTAGAGAAGAAAAAGACATTTGTACTACTAAACCGAGGGACCTCTTGTGGCTACTAAATAAAGCTTTAAGTCTAATGACTAAGTTATACTCCAGTCCCACTTATGGAGAAACACCTCTAAAGTGAAGACACAGAAAGAGATGACCAAACCCGCTATTAATACGTAGAACGCCATCTGGATGTCTCTCAGAGTTCCCTTTTGGAGTTCCACTTGTATCGCTTCGGAATGCACGAAGTGACAGTTTCCAACGTTAGAAAACTCCAGCTCTCTTTGGAACCAGTGATACATCACTCCAGATCGAAGCAAGCGTTGCGTACTGTAAAAATAACATTTGTGATGATCTGTTATAACAGGATGTTTAGTTAAAAATCACACATAATATAGCTCAATTAGTCTTCTTGTCTTAACCCTAGATTTCCCGATCGGATTTTTAAACATTTCTTTAATTTACTTATGCGCCAAATTGTTGGTTACAAGGACCCAAATAATCTTTGAGTCACACAAAAAATTTAATATAATTAAGTCCTCTATACATTTTTGCATAAAAAATGATTGAAATCACTGAATATTCCGAAAGGTCAGTTCTTTTAGTCTGTGTGTGTAACATGTGAACATTATTCAATATATATAATTCAGTATATGAAGCTCACCCGTAGTTAGAGGTGTAAAAACAAGTCAGAAATTGAGGTTTAAAAACGTTTTTTGCTATATTAATATCTGATATTAGAAAGGAATGTTGTTCTAGCCTATAGTACACAAAAACAGAAGGTGTAGTATTGGTATCATACAGACCAATTATTTTAAACTGACACCAGATTTTAATCACTTATATAGTTAAGATACTGCTAAGACTGAGAGAGTTAGCTGACTTTAAAAATTTACAATCGTTCGTTATGGACATGAGAATTTACAGAAATACACAATTCATCAGACTTACTGATCCTGATAACATTAAACATCGATTTTGATAACATCAGGCTTACAAATCTTAAGAACCACAGATGTACTGACCTTAATAACTTCAGACTTACTGATTCTGACAATATCAGACTTAACCATGACAACTTCATATTTCTGATCCTGACAAAATCAGACTTACTGATTATGTAAAACTCAGATTTATGGTTTTTAACGATATTTGACTTAATAATTCTGACAAAATCAGACTTACTAAACCTGAAACTTCAGAGTCACTGATCTCCACAACATCATGCTTACTAACTCCGACAATATTAGATTGACTGATCGTGGCATTATTACTTAGTAATCCTGGTAATATCAGTTGTTCTGATCTCTACAATATCAGACTTACTGGGCCCGACAATATTAGATTTACCAATCCTGAAACGTCAGACGCACTGATCTGGATAATTTCAAACATAATGATCCTGACAACATTAGATTTACCAATCCTGAAACGTCAGACGCACTGATCTGGATAATTTCAAACATAATGATCCTGACAACATAAGACTTACTGATCCATACAACATTAGACTTATTAATCCTTACAATATCAACTATATTGATCCTGACAATATCAACTATATTAATC